GTTCTTTCTTTCTGAGTTTTCTTTCTATGTTTTTTACAGATTAGGTTAATTCCATGTACTGGTCTTCAAGTTCTGATGCTGTTTCTTCTGCTTGATTAATTCTGCTTTCCTTGCTTGTCATCTTGTTATTTATTTCCTGGGTGATATTTCTATGGCCAAAATCTCTTTTACAAGTTCTTTCAGTGTTGCATCTTGTCCTTCTTGATTTTTATTCACTCTTTCCATCTATTACCTAATCCCCATTGTAGTCTGGGACAAGTCATTGGTGACTTCGATTGTTTGGGATCTAAGGTCTAATTTTTCAGGTGTTTTCTCTTTATTACACTGGAAATTACCTGTGGTCTTCAGTTGTTTTTTTGTTTGTTTGTTTTTGTTTTGTTTTTTTCCTTATTTGTGACAGATCTCTCTCTTTTCTCTTTAATTTCGTTATTCTGTGGCAGTGGGAGAGGTTTTCACTTCTGATGTTTGCTAAGCCCTCTGTTCTCCCCTGATCAGTCTCTGGATTTGTTCTATTTTCAAACAGGAATGTGGGTGAGAAGCTTTACTTTCTCATAGTTCTGAGAGTCAAATAAGGTGAAGAATGGGGTGCTAGGATTCAGAAACTACTTGCAAATCACTATGTTCATTTATTGTGTTATGGGTTTCCTGAGACCCACCCCCCACACCACTCTATATGATGATACACTGAGCATGTACGTGTGTGTACCACCTGAGTCCAAGATACAGTAGAAGTAATGAGGAGAACAGAAAAGAGTAGAATGAAATAAGATGGACAAAAATAAAATAAATTTAAAAACACAGAACAATGAAAGAAGAAACTAGAGCACACACAAACACATACACACACTCATGCAGCAAAACAAACTGGAATAATAGCAAAGCAAAATAAAACAACAAAACCAGGAAAACCAAACACACTCACACACACACACATACACACACACACACACACACACACACACACACACACACCGCTGCTCCTTTTCTTGCCTTCTAATCTGATCTTGGTATTTATGAAGATGCTAAACAGATCATGCCCTCTGAGGATGGAGAAGGGGAAGACCCCACGGCCCTGTTGATCTCATTATTCTGTGTCTTCTCAGCAGATCTGCCGCCCTGCCACTCATTCAGGCTTGGGGCTAATCATATTAATTGAAATATTAAACATTCACAAAGATGAATTACAATGAACTCCCCTCACTCCTTCTCCCAGTCAGTAACTGGGGAGACCGCTGCAGGCAGCAAAACTCCTCCAATCCTTTACTTCCTTTGTGGTCCCCAGATTGAAGGTGTCAGTTTGAGAAGAGAGGTGGGCTTTAGGGGAGGAGAGTGGGAGTTCTCATCACACCCTCCTTGCCGAGTGACGGTGGGCATGTCTCTGATGTTCTTTTAGGCCATGGGAGATTGTAAAGACTGGGGAGAAAAATCTAAGACTCAGATACCTGTTCTGGGGAGTTTTTCTCTAGGAGGCATGAGACTTTCAGCCCCTAACTCCTCCCAGATACTTTCTCTACCTACCATCCTCAAGTTCACCCTCTTTCTTATTCCTCTGCAGTCAAAGCTAAGCTGCCCTACATAAAAAGATTATGGAATTTATAAAAGGAGAGTTCTGATCCTGGCTTTAGATTCTTAGGAAATGAGAAATGCCAGATAATTGGGATATTTTTCAGAAAGGGCAGAATGTGGTGGTATGTGTGGGCAGAGTGGCTCTTCATCAAGTACTTACTGGCTTTACTGACTGAATATAGAGTGAGGACATCTGCAGCAGGTTTTTTGAGAGCATATAAAGAATTGATTCTATAACTTTCCTACCTTCAAATGGCTTCCACCTCAAATGGAAGGCAAGACAGGCCAACCCAATATATAATAGTAAGTACTGAGATGCTAGTAAGAAAATAAAAGTAGGCTCTCTCATACATGGATACTTGGACCATAGGATGTGATCAGTCAAGAAAGGCTTGATTGATTCTCAAGACACAAGAGGATCATACACTAGCAGAAGGAGGACATCAATTATTTTATACTTGGGGTGGAGGCGAAGGAGAACATTGTGCGTGTGTGTTTGCTAGCCCAGACTCCAGCACTATCTGACATAATACAAGCCACATGCATAATTTAAAAAGTTCTACTAGCTGCTGGGTGCAGTGGCTCATGCCTGTAATCCCAGGACTTTGGGAGGCTGAGGCGAGAGGATTGCCTGAGCCCAGGGGTTCAAGAACAGCCTGGGCAACTTGGTGAGACCTCATCTCTACAATAGATAAAAAAAATTAGGCAGGTAGAGGCTGCAGTGGCCGGGAACAGTCACTGCACTCCAGTCTGGGCGACAGAGTGAGACTCCCACTCCAAAAAAAAAAAAAAAAATTAGGCCAGGCACTGTGGCTCAGCCTATAATCCCCACACTTTGGGAGGCCAAGGCAAGAAAATTGCCTGAGCCTGGGAGTACGAGACCAGCCTGGGCAACTTGGTGAGACCTCATCTCTACAATAAATCACAAAAATTAGCTGGGTGTGCTGGCGTGCATCTGTAGTTCCAGCTACTTGGAAGGCTGAGGCAGAAGGCTCGTCTAAGCCCAGCAGGTCGAGGCTGCAGTGGCCGTGATCTGTGCTCCAGCTTGGGAAGAAGCCTGGATTCTCTTTTCCCAGCACTAGGCTTCCTCCAGCTTCTGCCCAAGTGAGGGAAGTCAGGGACCAGATTCTGGGAGACCCTGCCTTAGGACTCTATTTTACTTTAACTAAAAAAAAAAAAAAAATGTCTACTAGCCACTTTAAAAATATAAAAAGAGGCAAGTCCTTCGGGTCCCCTCCCACTGTGGCAGCTTTTCTGTCCTCTCAATAAATTCTGCTTTCAAAAAATAAAGTAAAGCCGGGCTCGGTGGCTCAGTCTGTAATCCCAGCACTTTGGGAGGCTGAGGTGAGTGGATTGCCTGAGCCCGCGGGTTCGGGACCCGCCTGGGCAACTTGGCGAGACCTCATCTCTACAATAAATTAAAAATTAGCCAGGCGTGGTAGCGTGCGCCTGTAGTTCCAGCTACTTGGCAGGCTGAGGCAGAAGGATCGCCGGAGCCCAGCAGGTCGAGGCTGCGGTGGCCGGGAGCGGCCACTGCACTCCAGTCTGGGCGACAGAGTGAGACTCCAACTCAAAAAAAAAAAAAAAAGTAAAGTAAAAAAGTAAAAAGAAACAAGTGCAATTACTTTAATAATACATCTGATTTAACCTGATATATCCAACATGCTATTTCAACATGTAATCAATATAAGGATGATTAGTGAGATATTTTATTTTTTTCATACTCAGTCTTCACAGTCCAGTGTGTATTTTACATTTGCTGCACATTGAACACGTACAGATGCATTTCAAGTGTTCAAGAATCACAGGTGGCTTGTGGCGACCATATTGGCAGGCACAGCTCTGGAGGTAAAACCACTAGCTTCTCTGGAGGATGGGGGAAGAGACAGGTCTTGACCAACAGGAACGATCACCTCTGGTTAACCTCCGCTCCTGCCAGAAAAAAATCACTTCTGACAGATGGCAGCTTATCTGCCTCTCACTCTATTAACTCTCTCTCCTAAAAACAGACAAACAACCGCAATGATTACTAACCGGGGATGGGGTTCCCGGGAAGAGGCTTGTTGCCCTCAACCTAATTTACCTGTTGTGGTTTCCCCTGGCTTGGGAACTGCTAACATTTTCATGTCTTTTTCTCACTCATTGCTGGGAAAATAGAGACAGATCCCTCTAAGACCATAGGCTAATACTGAGCTTGTCTCTCATTGTTTCCTTGCTTCATGGGGCAGTTGCTCAGAAATCTGGAAAGACAGCCTCCCTTTTGGGATCTTTGCTTGAGCCTCTCAGAAGGCTTCTGCTGAGCACGTTCCCTGTGGGGGCAGGAGCTCGGCATGTGTGTATTCACAGACAGGTTCCTGCCCTTTCCCAGCGGCTATTTTCAGCTCTCTGGCTTTATGTCTCACTTTCTCTTCTTAATTAGATACTAGAAGAGCAAATCTTGAAGACCAATTCCCTTTTTCCTTCCCTATTCATTTGGGAGTGCAAGAAAATAATTTAGAATTTATGAGGAGCCCAGGGTGAAGAGAAAATTAATCTACACAAGAAAGTCAGTCCAAGAGGGGGAAATTCTGGCAGGATGTCCCCTGCGTCCTTTCCAGCATCTTTAGTCTGAGAACGTCTCTTCCCTTGCAGAACTCAGTCTACTCTATGTTCTGGGGTGCTTCCGTGTTGTTTTCGGAATCCAAGACTTCGGTGTCGAATATCTTCAGGACAGAGGGAAGGCTTGGGTCCTGGGCCAGTGGAAAGGGAAGAAGCCTAGATTCTCTCTCCCCAGCACCAGGCTTCCTCCAGCTACTGCCCAAGTGAGGGGAATCAGGCACCGGATTCTGGGAGAACCTGGCTTAGGAACCTCTATTTTACTCTAGAGTTAAGAAAAAAACGATTTGAAGTTGGGTGGGGTCAAAAAACAGGGCTCATTCCATATACAATGAGGCCTAGAAATCAGTCCCCAAATCAGTCCCCAGAAATCAGTTCCGGTAGAACCCCTCCCTAGTTCAGCCCTCAGCGGCAGCGCTCACCCCACCTTGCTCCCGTCGGCCCTGGGCCCACCTTTGCTGAATGGGGGAGGCTGGG